GGGAGGAGGGTAGAGAGAATAGTGCAACAATGAATGAATGGAAACCCAAAATCTCTGTAAATGTTTATGAAAATTAATAAAATATAATTATAGAAAAAAAAATAAAGTATCAGGAGGAGTCTTTTCACTCACTTACATTTGGTCATTTGACTCATACGCATCACAAAGAAAACACTTGAGTGTAAGGAATGCAGAAACTTGCAAAGATAGTAGCAAGGGGAGTTAGAGAAACTGTTATGATAGTCCACAGTCAAGATGAGAGAAGAAAGGTACCCACTACAGACAGAGTTTCTGATGGCAGCTCACATGAGAGCAGAAGAGGCTTCAAGGCTGGACCCAAAGGACACTGGTTGAGCAGAGATGAGAATCTAGAGGGTCCAGCAGTACTGGATGCAAATGAAGATATTTCTAAAGGGAAATGACAGAGAACAGCTCACCATGTGGGCTTCACCTTACCCAGATCTGCCATCCACTGAACCAGCATATGAACGAATGTGGCCAACACATTGCCCCCATTGAGGGAGGCTGCCACTCCCAGGTAGGTCCTGTTGAAGTATGGGAAGTAGGCAACTGGAGCCAACGTGTCTGGAATCTGAACTGGCTGGAATCCTGATGGCATCGAGGCTGCCAGCTGAACCGAGGTGCTGATGTTAAGAACTAGGAATCCAGAGAAAGCAGAAGTCAAGCATAACAACCCAAGGTGAACGCTCCACATTGCAACAGGGCAGTGGGAGAGAGGTTTTTAAATATAGGCTCACAAATTCTTTTATATGCTTCCTTTCAAGAAGCATATCACTCCCCTTTCCTTGCGTGTGGGCTGGACTTAGTGACATTTTTTTTAACAATGAATAGACTACAATAGATGAAACTGTGTGTGACTTCAAGTAGGTCATTAAAACATTGTAGATATTTCCATCATCACTTTCTCTCTCAGATCAGTCACTCCAGGGAAAGGCAGTTGCCATGTCAAGTGTATCACGATGGAGAGACCCATAAGGCAAGGAACTGGGGCTGCCTGTCCACAGCCATATGACTGAGCTTATTAGCAAACCCTCCAGCCCATGCAAGCCTTCAGCTGAATCCAGCTCCAGTCAACAGCTTGAGAGACCCTGAATGGGCCAGAATCATGCAGTCACTTCCAGAGGCCCAACCTTCAGAAACTCCGTGGCATAATAAATGTTTATGTTTAATCTGCTAATTATTGGGGCAAATTATTTTACACAATAATGGGTAACTAATTCAGAAAATGTGTCCTCACATCTAGTGTTTTATTATCAGGACCAGTTTCATCCCTTTGAAAAAAGTACCATCTCTCTCTCATTCTCCAGGGGTGTTTCCAAGATACCTTCCTTAACCTGCTCCTACCAGTAAAGGAAATCTCCCAGCTCAACACAGATGGGATGATTTTCCTCACAAGTTTAAGGACAGAGCCCGTGGACCATTCCAGCAATGTCTTCCCCTCCATTTTTCAAGTCCTGGCCAAAAAGTCTGTATCTAGTGCTGCTAAAACAGAGGTACTCTAGTATATGACTTTAACAGACAGGAATCTCTTATTTTATAGTTCGTTGTCATTAGATGCCACAGAGTTAACTTCAACTCACAGGTGACCCTACAAACAACAGATCTGAACCTTGTCCTATCCCGTGCCACCCTCACAATCTCAGACATGCTTGAGCTCATTGTTAACAGTCATTGTGTCAATGCATATTGGTGAGGGTTCTCTTTGTTTCTCTGACCCTCCACCTTTCCCAGCGTGATGTCTTTTCCCAAGAACCCGCCCCTCCTGACAACAGGTCCTAAGTGTATGAGATGAAAATTCACCATCCTTGCCTCTAGGGGGCACTGTGAGGACACGTCCTCCAAGACAGACTTGTTTGTTCTTTTTGGTCGTCCACAGAATATTCAGCACTCTTCTCCAATACCACAATCAAAGGCATCCATTCTTCTGTTATCCTTATTCACTGCTCAACTGTCAGCTGCATAGGAAATAACTGACTCTAGCGGAAGGCTCTCTCTCTGTGTCTCCTGGTTCTGGGAGTTTCTCAGCACAAGACCTGGCCCAAAGGATGCACTCTGCTCCTGGCTCTTTTTTCTGGGTTACATTGAGATACCTCACTGCTCATTTTCCCTCTTTATATCACTTATGAGACACATCTCCGGGATGGTGGGATTAAGGGTACTACATGCCACCCTTAATCTTGTTGTTGTTGTTGTTGTTATGTGTCGTCGAGTCGCTTGCGACTCATAGCGACCCTATGTACAACAGCTCTAAACTCTGCTCTGTACTGTGCCAATCTCATTGTCTCCGACACACTCATCCCAATTGCCCCAGTCACCAAATCAATCCATCTCCCAGAGGGCCTTCCCTCCTGCACCTGCCCTCCACCCTTCCAAGCATGATGTCCCTCTCCAAGGACCGGTCCCTCCTTACAACATGACCAAAGTATGTCAGACGAAGCTTCAGAATCTTTGCCTCCAAGGAGCAGCCCAGTTTAACCCTCTCCAGGATGCATCTGTTTGTTTTCTTAGCAGTTCATGGCACTCTCAGCACTCTTCTCCAACACCAAAGCTCAAAAGCATCATTTCTCCTTCTGTCCTCCCTGGTCACTGTCCAGCTCTCTGATGCATAACAAGTGATTGCAAAGACCATGGCCTGTACCAGACGCACCTTAGTCTCCAGAGACACATTATTGCTCTTGAGTATTTTAGAGAGGTCCCTAACAGCAGGCTTTCCCATTGCAATACATCTTTTAATTTCCTGGTTGCTGGTACCAAGAGTGTTGATTGTGGAGCCAAGCAGACTAAAGCTGTGAACAATCTCTTCACCATCCATCCTGATGCTGCCAATTGGTCCAGTGGTGAGAAGCTTTGTCTTCTTGACATTGAGCCTCAATCCATATTGAAGACTGCAGTCCCTGACCCTCAGAAGCAAGCGCTTCAGGTCTTCCTCAGTTTCAGCAAGTAGTTTTGACTTATCCGATCATGGGGGATCATTACATAACTCCCTCATTACATCTACATATTTTTGGGGAGGACACAATTTAATCCATGACATTTCTACTGTGCTCCCCAAATCCATGTCCTTGTCACCTACCTCTATCTCACTATGATTTCTCTTTTCCTAAATACAAGAACGATCAGATATAGTATCTTTAATTGACATGCACACAATAACTAAAATTCTATTTTTCTATTTTCTAAGTCATGTGATTCAACAGAAACCAATAGGCTGTACAAAACCTTTTCTCTCTAGCCCTGCTAGAGATGGGCACGGATTTGGGTATATCTGCCCATGCCCAGGGAGAAAGCCTGCCCTGCTGGACCATAAACTCCCTCAGTAGAAGGTTTCAAGTACAGAGAAAAGGGTGTTTTCCACTTTGTTTTCATTTTTGAGCACTGTCAAGTTGGAATTGACTCATAATTGACCCTCCATGGGTTTTCAGAGGCAGTAAATCATACAGGAGGAGACTGTCCTATCTCTGCCATGGAACAGTTAGTCGATTTGAACCATGTACCTTTGAGTTGACAGTGCAATTCCTTACCACTAGGCCACCGAGCTCACAGAATGCTAATTGCCATTAAGTACTGACGACGGTGCCCCTCAGGCCTCAGCACAGAGTAGGTGCCCCCAAACACTCACCTGCATCTGTCCTTTGGGTCATGCAGGAATAGACGGAGGCCTGTAGGTCACCCAAGGCCACACCCACCTCTGTTCCCTTTAGGATTTCCAACCACGGGTGGGTCGTCCTGCCTGCCATCCTACCAGGTTCTGCAATGTCAGGGAGCAAATGGACAGGGAAACCTGCAGCCCTCAGCCTGTGAGACAGAAATAGAAGCTGTATTTATATTTACCTGGTGTTTGGGCTTCTGCTATTTCCAGGAAACTCAGCAATGAAAAGAGGTAAAGGATACACACACAAGGAGGGAGGACAGAACCCACTGCTTTCACAGATCGAGGTTTTTAAACCATGAGCTGTAGGCTTTGGCTTTTAAAATACTGAATATTGCCTTTCAAAAGCTTGGCATTCCACCTTCTGGTGGCCAAAACAACCAGCATAAGGAGCAGTGATAAGAATGGATTTGATAAGCGCATGCCAGCCTCCTGTGTTGGGGGGAAACACACCCTTTACAGAGAGAGGGAGGCCATTGGAGTTTGAGAGCAAAATGCAGTCGGTTAGCAAAGTCCAAATCAAATTCAGAGGGCTACCAGCCTCCTGAATGTCATCAAACACATCATCACTCGGGGTTAGTGACTACAGGGCTATCAGTTTTAAAAACATGCTAGAAAGTTCTTTACCTGAACTACCAAGTTGGTTGAAGGGTTTTTCCCCAAAGATCAGAATTTGAGCCCTAAAGGAGGTAAACTTATAGGGCTCGGGCTTCTGTAACTGAAAAGGCAAATGATTGTTTAAAAAGAACTTAAAAAAAAAATTTTTAAAAAAAGAACTTAAAAGGCATCCCTCAAATGTACTACTTCATTTCTTAATCTTATTTTTTAAAGTGTTAAAAAGCAAAAGTCTACAAGTGGGACCTGCAGTCACAGAAAACTGGGGAGCCTACTCATGTCTGGGCTGCAGTGGAGGAAGAATATGATGTAGTGTGATAGGCAAAGCATCATGCAACAATCTCTCTTTTACTCTTGGACCCAAGCAAGTAACTGAACAAGACTGGAGGCTCTGGACCTGATTCCTGCCTCCAGGAAGCCTTTAGAGTCCCCGGGTGGTCTGTTGTCATGAGCCGTGAAGTCAGGCTCAACACATAGCTGCCTCTCCACTGGGTTTTCAGAGGCTGTATGTATGACAGGAGATTATGATCAAAAGGAAATTGCCCATCGTCCTGAGGAGCAACTTGTGGAATCAAACCATCTGCCTTTGTTTTGGAAGTGCAACTCTTTACTCACTAGGCCACCAGAGCCCCCTCCCTGGGTGGTGCTCAACTACTAATCTAAACACTTGCAATCTTAATCCACCTAGCAGCACTGCAGAAGGAAAGCCTGGCAATATGCTCCCATACAGATTACAGTCAAGGAGGCTCCATGGAGCAGTTCCTGTTCTCTCAACACACAAAGTTGGTATGATCAACTTGACACTAACGGTTTTGGGGCTTCCTTTACCCTTCCAAGAGGGAAACCTCTCACTGCAGCCCTAACTCTAGAGATTCTCTTTTGCCCAGAGCCTGCCTGCTGAGGTCATACTCACGTCTCCAAGTTCCAGCTTTTGCTCCGGGTGTTGAAGTAGCCCCAGCTGGCGGCATTCTGGTCTGACATCAGGGGTTTTGGCAAGCCACACAACATGGCAACTACATAGTCCTGGATGGTGCCAGCCGCATCGTAGGATTTTAGGAATTCTGGGCTGGTTTTCATAGGGAAAAAAAAAAACTAATTAAGTGATCTAATATCTTCTCAAAAGCATTTGATGCACCTCACTGTGGATTGTGGGGATGAGACATGGCATTGTTTGGGGAGCAAACAGAACTCCACAGGACACTAACAGGTCGCTCAAATACAGTGAGACTTCTCATGGTGAGGATCTCAAAGCCACTCAGAGCTGGGAGCTTGCAGAAGCAGGGGGAGGGGAGGGGCCCCTTCCCAGGAAAGCAGGATGCTAGCAACCTGAGGCCAGGCTCCCTTATCAACTCACCATGGAGCCTTTGACAAGCCAGTTGCTCTCTCTAGTCCTGTCTTTCTCCTTCGAGGTTAGAACTGGATGGCTAGTTGAAGCTCTTTGGACAATGAAACGTCTCAACCAAGTCCAGGTCCCTTGACCCTGGCCTATGCCAATCCTCATTCCCTGAGCCTCAATCCAGCAGGTGGCGCCCCTGCCTCCTGCCTACTCACCTTCCCCAAGAAATCCAGCAGCCAAGTCAAAGATTAGATGTCTGTACCTATTTTTCAAAAGCCAGAAGATAGTTGAACAGCCAAACCCAGTGGCCACGCTGAGATGGGACTCCGGCAGGGGCAGGGAAGCCAGGAACCCACTGCTACACCGGCCATCCTGCCATGTGACCAGCTGGCTCACAGTCCTGGGCTCAAACATGCTGGCAGTCCCTCCGTCTGTCCATTCACAGCCTGGAATGAAAGGGATTACCACTAACAAAGAACAGGACAAATGATCAGCACCGGCATGTCCTGAGTCTATCTGATCTGCCAGTGAGTTTTCAACTTACAAAGTATGACCCTATGATAATGCTCCGCTCACACAGGAAGCCTGGCAGAGGCATTACCAGGTTAAGTACCTGGATCTGCCATCAAACAGCTGTGACCCTGTGATCCTGGGCAAGTCACTCTCTCAGTTTGTCCCACATGTTCTGTGTTTCTTTCTATCCACTTACATTAATGTCTTAGTTATTTAATGCTGCTATAACAGACACTGAATGAGTAGATTTAAAAAGAAAAAAAAATTTTTCCCCACAATTCAGAAGATTTAGAACATTTCATTTTAAGCATCTGTCAGCAATCCTCAGCATTCCTGGGCTTACAGATTAATCTGTTTTCCTCTCCTCACATGTGTCTATCTATTCTGCTCCTTCTCCTCTCCCCCTTAATTTACTTATTTGGATGAAAGTTTACACACCCCACTGGTCTTTTATTTATACACACATTGTTTGATATCATTGTAATCACAATTTCATTCGATTATTCATACACATTTTGTTTTATAACATTGTAGTTAAAATTTCATTTCATCATTCACATGCATTTTATTTCACCTTGTTGTTGTTAAGTGTCATCAAGATTAGTTACCACTAATTAATGTAATTAAGTAATTGCAATCCAATCAACCCCTTATTGTATATTGTCTTTCTGTTCACCCAACTTATCTGTGTGCCTGGGCCTGTGTGTTTAGTTTTCTTTTTAAAAAAAAAAATTGAATGAAGGTTTACAAATTATATTAATTTTTCGTTCTGTTTCTTTTATAAACTAGGAGGATATCAGGTTTAGGACTCACCCTAAAGTCTCCATCCTTCCAATCTTCCTCATGACGATATCACTTAGACTTTTATATTTTCCCTTTTTCTTTTATCTTGGTGAATGAAATTCTTTTTCTACCACTCATCGGTCAGTGTGTCATACTGTGGTGGTTTGTGTGTTGTTGTGATACTGGAAGGTATGCTTCTGGCATTTCAAATATCACCAGGAGCTTCTACTGTGGACAGGTTCCACATGAACTTCTGGACTCAGAAAGACTAGGAAGGACCTGTTGATATACTTCTAAAACAAACCAAAAAATCATTTTAAAAGTCTTGGCGAGCTCTGGTGGCCTAGTGGCAAGAAGTTGCACGGCAAATCCCAGAGGTGCACGCTTCAAATCCACCAGATGCTCTGCTGGAGAAGGAGGAGCAATCTCCTCCTGTACCAGTCAGATCTGATTTGATGGTACACACTCACACACAAAATAATTTTTTTTAAATCACATTAAGTCTTAAAAAAAATAAAAAGAAAAGAAAAGGGAAAACATTACAAGTCTTAGAGTAGCAACAGACCTCTGGAACCTTGTCTGATGTAGTGACAGAGTAAGGGCCCCACCTGTGCAGAACCAGGCAGCGTTTCATTCAGTTGTAAACATGGTCAGTCACTAAACGTCAGAACTGACTTGATGGTACCTACAACAATACATCGTGATGACCAATAGGCATCATCATGACAGATGGAGAAAGACTAAAACTGTCAACAACTTCATCTTCCTTGGAGTCACAATTAACACCCTTAATACCAGCAGTCAGGAAATCAAGAGATGTATTGCACTGGGAAAGTCTGCAGTCAGGGACCTCTCCAAGTTATTGAGGAGCAATGATGTCAATTTCAAGACTAAGGTGCATCTGAGAACTGAACAATGAATAAGGATTATAGAAGAAGAACTGAGGCTTTTGGACCATGGTGGTGGAGAGCAAACAGAAATGTCTTGGAGAAGGTGTAGCCAAAGTGCTTCTTGTAGGTTAAGATGATAAAGCTTCATCTCACATGCTTTGGGCATGTTGCTAGGAGAGACTACATCTTGGAGAAGGACATCATGCTTGGAAAAGTGGAGGAAAAATGAAGGAGAGGAAGACCCTCACCCAGACGGATTGCCACAGTGACTGAAGCAATGGACTTGAGTATGAAAGAGATTGTGAGGAGGGCACAGGGCTCAGATCTGTTGTTCATAGGGTCACAATGGGTCATACTCTATAGCACCTAACAACAACAACATGAAATTGATAGTTTGTAGCACCGCATGACCATTTCAAGATTTAGAAGCCAAGGCCAATACATTTTAATAAATTTCTCAATAAAGACAATGAAAACAAACTTAACTCCCTGCACCCTTTGTTCTAGGCCATAAAACAAATATTCACTCATGCATGCATGCATGACATATGAAAGTATTTTAAGCACTGCTTCTAGGTCCTGAAGATATAGCAGTAAATGAGAAAAACGTTTTTGCCTTCTGGAAACTTCTGTTTATTTTAGGGCAGGAGACAGACCATAAACAAACAAACAAGTACCATACTGTATTTGTTTTAAAGGTTGTCTCCTTCCTTCGACAATGTATCCTGGAGTTGTTTCTATGTCTGTATGCACAAGTTTCCTGCATTCTTTTTAACTGTTGTGTATCATCTCCTGAAGGGGCTCTGGCATAATGGGTTACGGGTTGGGTTGTTAACTGAAAGGTTAATGGTTTGAGACTCTCAGCTGCTCACGGAAGAAAGATGAGGCCGTCTGCTCCTGTTGAGATTTCCAGCCTTAGAAGAGCAGGGGAGGGTCACCATAAGTGGGGATCAAAGGCAGGGAGCTTTGCTTTGTTTTGTTGAATTTGCATCATTCTATAGCATGGACATGCTGTGAGTTGCTGTCCAGTCAGATCCTGACTTTCTGGACAACCCCATACATGGCAGACCCCAATCCACCTGGCTCTAGGTCAGTTATAGATCAGATCACTGTGATCCACAGGACTTTCATTGGTTGATTTGCAAATGCAGATTCTCAGGCTTTTCTCCCTAGTCTGGAAACGCCAATAAAATCTGCTCAGAAATTACAGCTGCATGAAAGTGTCTATCAACAGACTTGTGGTAGTTGTGTATAATGTGCCCTGGCTAGACTCGAACTTGGATCTCCTGCATGGAAGGCAAGATTTCTACCACTGAACCACCATAGTATAGACTGATCAGCTTATACCTAACTATTTCCTACAGTGAAATACCATATTTTTTTCACTAGGATAAACAAGGATGCAATGAACAACCGTGATGTTGCTTCCTGTGTCCATGCACTTCTCTTGAACAGATGCCATGCAGACCTGCTGAGTCATAACCTCCCTTTCTTAATGGGACCTGCTAAATTCTTCTCCAAAATGACTATGTCAATTAAATGGCCAACAGTGCACTCAAGAGAACCAAGTTTCCACTCCCTTGCCAACGCCTGGCATAAAACTTTTTGGTTTTTAATAACCTAATGAGTCAAAAAGGAATTCTCATCATTGTTTTTCTTTCTTTTTTTAAATTTTTTTCCCTTTGTGTTTCTTTAATTACTAATGACATTGAACATCTTTTTCACACGTATATGAGCCATTTGTGTTTCCTCCTCTAGGAACCGCCCCTTCCAGGTACCCTCTGCCTGCTATTGCACTGGACCATTGCCCTTTTTTTGTTGGTGGTTTTTTCTCTTTACTAATACTCCTCCTTGGTCAGCTATACATGCAGTGGATGTTTTCTCCAGATCTGTTTAGCTTTGCCATTTAGCTTTGCTTTATCACCTCCATTTCTCTCCTACTTCATAGAGCCTGAAAATGGAGTTTAGAAGCAGGTATAACCACAGGCCTCTCAGAAGACACCAATTACTCCCTCTTCCTCTCCTCCAACTTGCTTGTCTCCTGCGCCCATTGAAGCACTTAGCTCTGTGCTGGAGTTACTAGTGCTCATCTCTCCCACTAAGCTGGAAGGCAGTGGCTTCTTCCCACTCGGTTATATCTCTCCCGCAGGACCCAGTACACAGCCCTGTACACCGTAGGTACTGAAACCGAACTGAATTAAGGCTGCCATTAAAAGTAGCACAGCTTGACCTCAAACCTGACTTCACTTGACTCTACCAAGCAAGTCCCATCATCATCAAACTGTGGCTTTCTTCCTTCCCAGAAACAGCAAACAAAATGAGAAGGCATGCGGCTGGGCACCATGAAATATTAAGCAGCTCCCTCCAGCCATGTGGGCAATGGTTTGTGCGGCTGTCAGAGAGTCCAGGAGCCGGGGAGAAAGGAAGGCATGTCACCAGACCACAATCATTAGACCTAGGCTGGCCTCTTTGGAAAGGGTTTTAGTATTAAAAGGACATTCATCCTCGTTAATGCAAAATTAAGGAGTTTAAAAAGCTTTTTACAACCTAGACTCCCTCTGAGAGGTCAACCGTAACACCCTAATCGGCCTTCTGCTTTTGCTATGGCTTGGAGCCAAGCAGCTCCTGTGGTCCCAGCTGGCCCGACAACAGACAGAGGAGAGAGGGGGCGAGAGGGAGGAAGGGAGAGTCTGTGCCGGTTCCTGCAATTATCCCAGCCCATCCTGGGGACTGATGGAAGTGGGTATCATCATCATCATCACCACCATCATCATCATCATCAGACTCTACTCACACCACTGAGAGGCAAGCCCTCACTCCTAAGGGCGGCTAACTCTCCAGACAGAAATCCCCCTAACTGCATGCCCCCACCACCATCAAAGTAGCCATCCATCCACTGCTGAAAACCCCTGTTGACACTGGTGAAGTTGGGGGACGAGTGTGTGTCACTTTGCGATGCCATCCTCTCTGCTTTAGTGTCTGTCATGTATTAAGTAGTGTCCTCAAAAAAATACAGCCCGGAAGCTACATAAGGATCCCCTATGAACCACTAAACTAAATAGTTGTAAAAGGATTAAGGATGAATGGAAACACCCCTTAATCTCATCGTCCTAATCTAATGTAAAGGGGGTTTCCCAGGGAGGGGGTGGTGGTGGCGGTGGTGGTGTGGTGGTGGTGTGGTGGTGGTGGTGTGTGCCATTGAGTCAGAGCTGACCCATAGCTGGCCCTCCAGTGGGTTTTCAGAGGCAGTTAATTGCACCAGAGGGGACTGCCCATCCTTCTCCCTCAGAGCAGCTGGTGGATTCTAGCGCTGCAGTGCAGCTTCTTACTCCTAGGCCACCAGAGCACCTCAGAGCCCAGCCAGGGACTTTTTGAGTCACCTTTGTGCCAGCAACTCCTTCTTAGCTTACATTTTCAAGAGATGCAAAGGTCAGGTGCTGACACTGGCTTCACAAGCCCCATACAATCACCACTTCCACCTGCCCCAGGAAGGGACACTCCAAGGTCCGTATGTGTGACTCCCTGCAGGGACACAGAGCCACAGGCATCTTGGCCCTCAGTCTGATGTCTATGGGCTGCCTCTGCCAATTCTCCCCTAAAACCAATCAGGATTAAAATGCACAGGAAAAAAACCACTCTGGCTGTCACAGGTCGTACAGGCTCCCAAAGGTGTAGCTTGTAATATCTCTCACCTCACTGGAGATAAAAGGGGAGGAAGGCCTGGAGGTTGGGGAAAATGAGGGGTGGTATTTGCTGCTATCAAGAAAGAATTGTCAAGTCTAGAATGAGCCTCTTGAACTCAGGTCTTTGAGCTAGAAAGTACCTAGGCACCAAGGAAGGCCAGCACACAAGCGCCCTGCAGGTAACACCTGTTCTACAAGGACTCTCCTCCAGAAACAAGAGATAAAGACTTCCCCTAAGATCCAGCTCCCTGAATTTGGACTTCTAGCCTCCTAAAGTGTATGAGAATAAATATCTGTTTGCTAAAGCCATCTACTTGTAGTATTCCTGTTACAGCAATTTAAACAGTGTGTGTGTGTGCGCGCACGCGTGTGTGTGTGTGTGTATACTATATATACAGTGGATGGATGGATAGATAGAGAGATAGATAGATAGATAGATAGACAGACAGATAGACAGATAGATAGGCAATCTTCTGTGCGATTCTGCAAACCTGCTGGAGGGTCGGCTATGGGTCAGTTTTGACTCTACGGTAAACAGCAACAACATATACACACATATATTTTATATATATATATAGTTGTTGTTGCCACCGTCAAGTCAAGCATGACTCACAGTGACCCTATGAACAAAAGACCTGAAGCCTCACACAATATAATACTATGCAGCATTGAAATACAAGGAACTCATGAAATATTATGCAAGTGAGTAACCCCTGGAGGACATCATGCTGAGTGAAATATCTCAGTCACAAAAGGACAAAGACTGCATAATGCCACTGTTACAAAACAGGACTGACATTGGGTTTGAGGGAAAACTAAGAGGGATAAACAATGTACACTGCATTGAAATAGATGAGGGAGAGAACTGTTTAAAAGAAATATATGATTAAGTATTATTTGCATGGTAATAGTCCTGAATAAGATCTGCATAGTAAAGCTGACTGGGGAGGGGAGAGACTGAATAACAAGAAAAGAATTTTTTTTTCAAAGGGAAAAGTGAACTGGGAGGAGGAGAGGGCAGGGAGGAAAATGTGCAACACTGAATGAATGGAAATCCACATCCTCTATAATCTTTCATGAAAATCTCAGTTTAAATAAATAAATAACAATAAAAGACCTGAAACCTTTCTATAACTACTGTCGTTTATCAAAGGTTATGGAGTTTCCAGAGGCATTTTGTTTAGGAAGTGGATGTCACTCCTGCTTCCAAATATACACACTTAGGAAGAAGGACTGGCCCTCCATTTCTAAAATAACAGGCCTTCAAAACCCTTATGTTCAACTATGAGCAACTTACAGTAGACTAGCAGATATGGCAACAGAGACTGACTCCTCAAATATAAAAACACAAAGGAGGGTAGCAGGGGTAGGTGTGTCAGAGACAATGAGGATGGCTCAATACAGAGCAGGGTTCAGAGCTGTTGTACTTAAGGTCACTATGAGTCACAAGTAACTTGATGGCACATAGCAAACAACAACATATATATTGTGGTGGTGGTGGTGGTGGTGGTGGGTACCATCAAGTCAGAATGGACACACAGCTGACCCTCTGGAAGGTTTTCAGAAGCAGTTAATCACAAAGGAGATTGCCCATCCTTCTGTGGAGCAACTGGTGGATTCGAATTGTGCCTTAGGAACTGCCGTGCAGCTTCTCACCACTAGGCCACCAGAGCTCCCTTTATATATGTTAAATAAATATATATGACTAGGGACGATAGAAGGAGAATTGATGCCTTTGAGCTGTGGTCCTGGGAAGAGTATTGAATGTACCATGGACTGCCAAGAAAACAAACAAATTCATCCTGGAGAAGGTTAAACCAGGCTCCTCCTCGAAGGCAAGGATTCTGGGGCTTTGTCTAACATACTTTGGACATGTTGTAAGGAGGGACCGGTCCTTGGAGAAGGACATCATGCTTGGGAGGGTGGAGGGACAGCACAGGAGGAGAAGACCCTCTATGAGGTGGATTGATTCAGTGACTGAGGTAATCGGGATGGGCGTGTTGGAGGCAGTGCACTTGGCACAGGACAGAGCAGAGTTTAGGGTTGTTGATACAGTCGCTATGAGTAGCAAGTGACTCGGTAGCACATAACAACAACAACAACATGTATAAATAAAACATTTTAATACCTGCTGTAACAGGGAGTTCAGTGGCCCTCTGGAAACTAGAGTTCTTTTTAGACAGTTGTGTTGATAAGTTCCTCCTTTCCCTGTGCTGCTGTGTCTTCTTGTCACTCTGGTCCCCACAGAGACTCCATGTCTAAGCCTACAGACTCGGGTTCAAAGCCCGGAGTCACCATTTACTGGCATACAACCGTGAATTCTGATTTTTCACATGCAAGAGGTGGTCAGTCACATCACCTATGTCGTAAGGTTATCAGGAAAGCCTGATGAAACCGTGCAGGTACCATCCTTAACACGTCATCTGGCTTGAGAAGGAAGTCAACTCAGCTCAGTGTCTTTGACTAGGAAATGAGTCATAGCTACCATTCCAGCAGGTTTTCTGAGTCTGTTAATCACACAGGAGAAAAACGTCTATCTTTCTGCCTCAGAGCTAATGGTGGATTCGAACCACCAGAGAAGTGCCACCTTTGGGTTAGCAGTGCGACTCCCCATGGACTAAGCCACCAGAATTCTGAAGTGCTCAGAGATATTTCACTAGCTTAGTGCAAGTCACGACTGGTCTGATGGAAAAAGGTACATTATAATAATGCTTAGCAACTGAGCCAATTAAAAAAAATTGAATTAAAAATAAATAAATAAAATACCTGTGACTGTGCTAAGCAACAAAATCTACACCCAAATTCAGAAGAGGTACTTTCCCTCTGTCCTGGCAGCTCCTATAGCTACAGCTTCCTAAGGGGTTGCCACCATCGATGCTCTGAGATGACAGCACAAAGAGGAAACTGTGGGAAGCCATTGCAAAGCATCCAACAATTAGCTGCTGTCCAAAGAATCCTAGAAAGCGCCTCCTTTCCCTCTCCCTATTCACAAATAGTGCTCTGATTAGCAGAGTGTGGTGGCTCTGGTGATCACCTGTACAAAGCTGGATGCATCCAGAACACAAGAGATCAAATAAATGTGCCATTCCCTGAGGGAAGCCGAATATCAAATTTAATAATAATAGACCAAATGCTGTTTCGGGAAATGAGGGAAGCTTGATACAAACTGAAGGCCACCTTGTGGCAATGGGGTGTTCCCTAGGAGTTAACATTGTTCTTAGTTTGTGTCAAATGAACCCCTCCCTCTTGAGATTAGCATAAAGAGGAACTTGGCCTTATCTGTAAAAGATTTCACCATTATCCTTTGTTTTGTACTTCCTTGTGATTTTACTTTTATTATCTTATGATTCTAAATAAATACTCAGAGAAGCATGGCTTGAGGTCTTCAGTCGAGAACTGCTGACCCCCTGTTTTACGCTCTCTGCTCTGTCTCGTTCCTGGCTGTTTGTCTCTTTATTAATAATTATAAAATTATTCTATTCTTTGGGACCCTCGGTCTGCAACATTTCCCAGTGGCAAGACATCAGTCCCTGGGGGGACAATCTGGCCTCTCACTGAGTGTTTGTAGCACTCTCCTGAGCAGCGTGGCATCATCTCCAGAGCCCAGCATACCTTGGCCTGTTTTCCAAAACACCACTCCATGCATCTGTCCGGACACTCCAATGGCTTCAACTTTCCGGAGCTTCTGTCGAGGAAGCCCCGCAAGGCACTCATGCAGGGCTTGTATGATTCTACTCACATCTTGCTCCCGAGCCTAGAAACAGAATGAGGCACACTGAGCAGGGGGCAAATGAGCAGGGGTGGGAGGACATAGGCTTCAAGGGGCTAATTCCACAGGGGTCGCTTCCAGAACCTGCTGAGTGGCCACAGGGATGAATGCAAGTGAGTGTTCTCCACAACCGCAAGCAGGGCGTGGAGTAGGAAGGTGGTAGCCCAGGCTCTTGCCCTCACTGTTCTAAGACAACCTGCTGATTAACTCAACTCATTGCTCTTTTGGGGATATCTAAATTAACTGTCCTAATAATGAGTTTAATGCTTCTTTTGTTCTATCTCCTAGCAGCTTGGGAAGTGCTAGTCTTAAACCCTTGCAAGCAACCATACAAAGTTTAAAAAAAAGGGGGGGTGGGGGTCTCTAGTCATCTGAAACAACAGAGAAATGCAGGATAATCAGAAGTAGGGGGGGGAAATTAAATGTGTGGTTAATTGCCTCCAGGAACAACTTCCTCTATTGTCATGAGACCAGAAGAGTTAGATGATGTTCAGCTAGCATTAGTAAACATTTCTATTAAAAGTTCTACTGAGATCTGATTTGACGGTACACTCACACAAAAATAATAAAATAAAATAAAAATTTAATTAAAAAAAAAGTTCTACTGAGGAATAGTGAACAAAAGGGAGGCAACGAGAAACAGAATTTCAAATTCTCATTAATTTCACATTTTCTGGAGTCATGGAGCCTGGATAAATCCCTGAAAGTATTGCCCTGAGATCATATTTAAACCTTAGACCTTAAATAAAATATATCCCCATTAAGTCTTCTTAAAAGCAAACAATAGTTAGTATAACTAGTAAAGAATGTCCATCAAGGTCTCTCCTTGTCGAATCAAACTGGCAACAGAAACTTGTAAGATTAGACAGGAAATTTAGTACAAAGCAGTTTAATGTTAATGGAGGAGAACAAATTTGAAAGGAGGGGGTGAGAAGAATTTAATCAATGCCACTGAATTGAATATGCAGATATTATTGATGTATGTTTTGCTACATATATCCTCAAAAATAACACAAATAAATTTGATTCTTTTGAAAAAATGAGAAATAAAGAAAACCTTATAGGCTATCACTGTACTCTGTCACTCTTGGGGTCTCCAGAAATCACCATCAACTCAGAAGCAACCAGGTGCTTTTTTTCTAAGCTGCATCCAGAGAGTAGTAATGGAAAGAAAAAGGTCCTGGGGGTGGGAAGGAGATTCAAAATAGCAAGACTACCTTTCTGTGAGGGTTCCAAAGGTCTTCAAGAAGAAAACCTTTCTGAAATGTCCAAGCTCACTACAAAACCCAGAAGCAACAGTATCCAAGTGTATCATAAAGATGTACTTTGGTGAAAGTGGGCTGAGGCCCAGTTGGCACCAAACAAAGACAAGAGTAAAGTATTTATACATCCTATGTTGGCCAATTGAGGGAACTCACAGCAGTTTCAAGGGCCTGGGTGCTTTTCCGTTATTTCAGGTCTTCTGTTTTATCTCCTTGGGTGGGTCATAAAACTGTGTTTAGAGGGAAACATTAATCCTGGATCACAGGGACGTACTTAGGTAGTTTTATAAAACATAATGTATGGAAATGATTGTACGAAACACAATGTGAATAGAGAAATGTGTGAAACATAATGTATATCAACAAAACAGTGTATACAAATTTTGTATGAAAACCAATATAAAATAAAATTAATTTTTAAAAAGGCCAGCAAAATAGAATCCCTTCGGTTTCAACCCTCTACTTTCTTTTCATTTTTTCATTGCTTTGAGAATCTCTCTGCAAAATAATCTTGAAAGAGGTTCTTCTTTCAAAAACTTTGAGGTAACCAGAATTTCATAAAATATTAACACCCGTAAAACTCTAGTGGTTCTAAGAAACAACATATTAAAAAGAGTTTCTGATTCAATGAGGTTATAAGGTCTCTAGAGTTAGGAAAATGAGTTTAATATGTTAGAATGAAAGAAATGCCAAATCCAATGCCATATATCCCAAAGGGTGTAAGTTACGCCTCAAACTTCAAAACTAGCATCACTGTGACTCAAACCTAAGAAATCTGGATTCTGTCACCTTTTCTTTCCTTCACTCGTGAAGTCTTTGTCACAGACTACGCACAGGGTCCTATTACAGTCCAACAGTTGCTTCTAACCAGTAACAAACTTCAGTTAGCTCAGAAGGAAGCTCTTGGCCACCGAAGAAGGCCAGAGCACACAAAGGTCTCTCCAGATGCATGGCCCACAGATGCTGAAGGAATAAAGGACCTTCCTCCAGAACCAACAGAAACAAAGACTTTCCTAGACTGGCACTCTGAATCCGGACTGTCAACCTCCTAAACTGTAAAAGAACACATTTGTGCTTGTTAAAGCCACCCACTGTGATATCTCTGTTCTGGCAGCCCCAGATCAATGAGACAATTGTTTCCTTGTCAGTAAGTAAATTTCAAAATGAGAAAATAAAGAAGTAAATATATATTAAAATTTTTATAAATTTTATATTATATTTAAAAGAATCAAAATTATATTATTATAATTGTGCTTAAGGAATCTCAGTAGTTTAAGTAAATTGTTATGTTTAAAAGAACTTGGCCTAGGTTACCTTTGTCACTCCAACTTAAAATGTGTAACTCATCTAGATTTGTGATTTGTTGTTGTTGTGTACAGTAGAGTTGGAACTGACCCATAGATGACCCTCTGGTGGATTTTCAGAGGCAATTAATAACAGGGGAGGAGATTGCCCATTCTTCCTCAGTGGAGCAGCTGGTGGCCTTGAACTGCATGCCTTTGGGACTGCAGCTCAGTTTCTTGCCACTAGGCCACCACAGCTCCCTAGATTTATAATTATCACTTTACATTTACAATAAGATTTGAAACATATGAGCATTTACACATTTTTTATATTTGTAAGAATTACTTAAGTTTTCTGGAAAGATTTCAATCAAACATTTGCAATATGTCAAATGGACAATATACTAAGTATGTAAATATCATTTAAAATACCTATGGTTATTTAATTTATAAAGTAAGATTAAGCATTAATCTTCAAAGGTCCTCAAAAACAATCACTAAAGTGCCAGACTTCTAAATAGAATCAACAACACAAGTTTAAACAAGACAGCTCTCACCCCAGAAAAAATTTTTTAAAAATAAAATTTAAATGTTCAATAAGACATTAAATAACAAATGCTGGCAAAGGTGTGGAGAGATTGAAGCTCTCATACATTGTTGATGGGAACGCAAAACGGTTCAACCACTGTGGAAAGCAGGATGACCCTTCCTTAGAAAGCTGGGAATAGAAACTTGGATCCAGCAGTCCTGCTACCAGGCTTATATCCAAGAGAAATAAGAGCAACAAACTGGCATATTCACACCCATGTTTACTGCAGCACTATCTATAAGAGTAAAGAGTTGAAAGTAACCCAAGTGCCCATCGGTGGACAAATGGCTAAAGAAACTGTGGCATAGCCTCACAGGGGACAATCTGTGGAAAAAGTCACAACATGAAAGAAATTAGAGCAAATTATGCTGAGTGACAGAAATCAGTCACAAAAAGGTAAATATGGTATGTACTATTGTTTGTTATACGCTGTCAAGTTGGAACCAAGTCATAGCTGATCCTTCAATGGCTTTTCAGAGGTTGTAGATCACACTGAAGGAAACTGTCTATCTTTTCCACAGGATCAACTCGAATCAAGTGCCTTTGGGTTGATACCACACTTCTTACCATTAGACCAGCAGCGTTCCCTAATGCCACTATATACAAAGTTACATTACCACTAATATAAAAATTTAAGAAACACACGGAATCAACTTTGAAGAGGTAGCAGAAGAGAGTGGAGAAGAACATTTTTCCCCCTTTAAAGTCACCAATAGAAAAATAGAATAAATGTGGTAAAATATATGGTGGGGGGAGGGGAGGAAACAGCAAAAATCCAGATGTAAATTCTACCTTATGAGTAAACACATTAAATACAAACATTTCCAATACTTTAATAAAATGTATTTTAAAATACTAAATTATTAAAACTTAACTAAGAACCGAGGCTCTGAACCAAATGAATGGGATAGTTACTTTATTTCAACCAAAGCAAACCGTTTCTAACACAAAAAAATCAAACTGCGACCCAAAATAAACTCACATTTAACAACTAAGAAGAGCAATGGAATGTTAAGAGGAAGAGAAGCATGGCTCAGCTCTCAATAAATGCCTGTTCTTTGTGGAAGTGAATCAATTTCATGGTCCTGACAGGGGATCGGAAACCTGGGCCCTCGGTTACCCTCTCACTCTCCTGCAGAGCACACAGGCCTCCCTGGCTCGTACCGTCAAATCTAATCTGACTGGTACAGGAGGAGATTGCCCCTCCTTCTCCAGCAAAGCATCTGGTGGATTCAAACCCCATACCTCTGGGATGGCAGTGCAGCTTCTTGCCACTAGGCCACCAGAGCTCCCTAGCACTTAAAGTTTTAAGGGTGGATGCGATCAGGGAGTAGCTCTTGGACATCACCTGGCATCAGTCTGGAGCCACAGCAAATGCTCAAGCTTTAGATTTGAAAAAGGTGCTTAGGAACCCAACTCCCCATCCCTCTCATGTCCTTTTGTTCGTGTTAGTGCCCATCAGTCCATTCCAAACCACAGCAGCCCCAAGTGTGCAGAACATAATTGTGCTCCAATAAGGAGTTCAAGGCTCTGTCCTTTCAAAGCAGACAGCAGACTGTCTTCCTAGGTACCTCTAGATGGATTGGAACTGCCAACTTTGCAGCTAACACCTGAGTTTATGCTATCAATACCCTTTAATAGATGAGGAAACAGAGACTCAGAGAAGGAAAATAAGGAACACAATACACTTCTGGTAAGTGACAGCTGTGGGGGCGAAAGGAAAGCTCATCACGTCTGTGTAGCAGTGTGGAGCCACTTCTGGTTATCACGGCTGAGAAGGGTGGGCATACTACTGGCATCTAGTGGACAAAGGCCAGGAATGCTGTTCAACATCCTACGGTGCACAAAACAAGCAATAAGAACTGCTGCTGTTGGGTGGCATCAAGCTGACTACAATTCATAGAGACCCTATCATCCACAGATCAGAACTTTGCCCTATCCTGCAACATCCTTACAATCTCTGATATGCTCGTGTCCATTGTTATAGTCACAGTGCAAGTTGGGAAACTTGCTATAGAGGAATTTACAGCCATGCTGTCTGTCCTTGAGCACAATTCACGTAAGAATGCAAGGGAAATTGCCTGGCCTGACACAGTGATGCTAGCAATGGGCTCAAGTATTTCAGAGAGGATGAGGGTGGCACAGGATAGGACAGGGTCCAGCCTTGTTGTTCACAGAATCATGAAGAGTCTACTGGACTCTACAGCACCTATCAACAACTCCTAGGCTCCCTTAGGGCAGATGTGAGTGGGTGTGCCTGTAAACACATTGAAGGCTGGGGAAATAGGAGAAAGCAGTTCTCAAGAAGTGAGTCTAAAAAAAAGAAGTGATTCTAATTCAAGAGAAAAGGAAGTCCCCAGCTCACTTTCCTGTACTCACAGCTCTACTGCCCAACCCAACAGGATTGTTATTGTTGTTGTTATGTACCTTCGAGTCACTTGTGACTCACAGCGACCCTATGGACAACAGCCCTAAACTCTGCTCTGTCCTGTGCCAATCACACTGTCTCTGACACTTCCATCCCGATTATCCCAGTCACTGGATCAATACACCTCAGGGGCCTTCCCCTTCTGCGCTGTCCCTCCACCCTACCAAGCATGATGTCCCGCTCCAAGGACCTCTCCCTCCTCACAACATGTCCAAAGTATGTTAGACGGAGCCTCAGAATCCTTGCCTCCAAGAAGCCACCCGGTTTAACCCTTTCCAGGACAAATCTGTTTGTTTTTCTAGCAGTCCATGGTACTCTCAATACTCTT